TTGTAGTGTTGATTTAGGGAAGCGGGAGTGAACTGAAAATCGCAGTAATCGACAAAAAACGGAAAGATGTCTGGAAAAGACAGGATCGACATATTCCCCTCCAGAATGTAAGCAGCTTGTGCGATGGCTAGTTGCTAAAGCAATGTAGCTTCGTTAAAGCTCATATACCACTGTTTTGTTGACATATTTGCTTTTATATATGAAAGTTGTGGATCATTTTCTGCATGCATTTGAAAAGCAGGGATCGCCGTTTTGTTTTGTGCCAAGGTTACCGTTTAAAAGAGGAAGAATCCTGCTGCTGTCATGTGATATTTCTAACATTATCCAAGTGTGAGCTGTCAGTCGGAGAGACTTCATTTTAATCTAATTTCACCTGCTTCCAGTTATATTACATTTAGGACTACTGAAACTGTAAAACACCGAGGTTTGACCCTTTTATCAGGTCCTGGGTGCAAATATCACCCAGGAGTGGTGCAGATTGTGTTGTTCCTTACCTTGTTTTAAAAATAACGCTATTACACAAATCGCAGCATGTGACACCTTCTGTCCGTAGACTCTTGGTTCAGATAAGATCTCCTGAAAAAAAATCTGAAATTTTTGAAAATTTCTAAAATTCTGAAATGGTGAAAAACAGAAGAAATCTCAGGAAAATTAATGGGATCTCTCTTCCATGATGGGAAGGGATTCAGCAGATGTTGTACAGCATAGAGCAACAAAAGTAAATTTATATTATAGACGATCAGGATGACATCGTTAACAATCTAACATGTAACAATCTGTGAGTAATGTGACACAAAAGTGGGCTTGAATGTTGATGGCTGTATATTTTCGGCTGCTCCCTTATTCACAAAGAGGGATCCACAGAAGATGGATCCCCATATTTAACTGGTCTTACTCCAGGGATCTCTAACCTTTACACTATGGAGCCATGTTAAATTCCAACACAGGCCTAAGGCAGCATATGAGTCACCTGCTCAAGTCTGGAAAGAGCTGGGGAAAGATTCTGATTTGGAAAATCTTATTCAGCCTTTATTTAAATTGAAAGTTATCAGTCATGATAATTTAAATGAACAGTCAATGACAAGTGAGTTACAACTACTTAGCCATTTAGCAGATAAAATTCAACTTGTCAGCAGCTCATTGTAAGGTCTCCCACCAGAACTACAACACATGGACTTATATATTAGCTAGATGAAAGAGACGAACAGATACTACTACTTATTCTTTTTTAAGGTAAGCTAGCAAATGGCTGGATGAATTACAACCCAGGCCTCCACACTATAGCCCTATAATATACAGGTTTTCCTGCTAAAACCAGTGAACCACACTGGTGCTCCAGAACAAACTACTCTTGACAATTAGCATTTAGTAGCCTGGTAGAAGAGGGAACAGAGGAGTTTCAGTAGTGGGTTTTTTTTCGCTTCATGGGCGCAGGATAGCCCTGACCTGAGGGCATTGAAATAAACTCACTAGAGAGAATGTGGCCACCTTGATTAATAAGACCCTTTTCTTTCTGAACTATGCGTTTCTTTGGACTTGGTACTCTTGGAGTATAAGACTTTAATAATGCTATTAAGGCTGTTCCTGTCCTTCAGAGATGACCCATTGAACCAGTATATGACATAAAATGATGAAATGGGGAAAATAAGAAGCAAATCCATTTAAAAAAAAGAGCTTTAACAAGCATAGAGGTCGAGGGAGAAAAGAGGAAAATCTGCCGGTTAAAAAAAAAAAAACTGGGGTGAGGGTATCAACTACCAGAGAAGAGAGACAGAGACCTTGGGATGGCCTAAGGTCTGAGTGAAAACATGACAAGGAGATGAAATGAATGAAACTTGGTTGTGTCATTTTACCCCTAATTTAACCATCTGATTCAAATAGTGTTAAAAATATGTGGGTTTTCTCTGGATTTGCAGGGCTCAGACCATCATGAAGGCTCGGCTGAAGGGAGCACAGACCGGCCGCAACCTGCTCAAGAAGAAGTCCGATGCCCTCTCCATGCGCTTCCGTCAGATCCTTCGCAAAATTATTGAAGTCAGTTTAAAATGAGCCTTCGTTTTTGGTCCTAATGTGGTCAAAAGAACCGATGATGCAACAAATACTTTATTCATACATCATGCTCTTTGGTTGGAGGCTGTAGCTCATGATAATGCTCAATTAATCTGATACTAAGAGGTGTTTCTATAGTAATTAATTGGGTACCTTCATTGTTATAAACTAACAAATTACAGCCAGTCTGAATCAAAACCTCATGAAATAAAATCTTCCTGAAGGCTTTCAGCTACATGTTTCCCAAAGGTGTGTTTATTTATACTTTTAGACTAAAACCAAGATGGGAGAGGTGATGAGGGAGGCTGCCTTCTCTTTGGCTGAAGCTAAATTTGCTGCAGGAGACTTCAGGTAAGAATGAGAATAACGTGTCAGCGACGTGATTTTGTGTTCTGGTGCAGATACACAAGCAACTTCCATCTGTTGTTTTTGGCCTACAGCACAACTGTAATCCAGAATGTTAACAAAGCCCAGGTGAAGGTCAGAGCCAAGAAAGATAATGTGGCAGGTTAGCATCAAAAAATATTTTCTCATTTTTAATCATTTTTTGTTTTGTTTAAAATATCTGCTGCTTTTCCTCTTTTAGGTGTCACCCTTCCAGTATTCGAACACTACCAAGAAGGCGGAGACAGTAAGTCCAGTCACACGTCTGAGTTTGGTGTAACTCTACATCGGGTTTGAAGGGAATCGCAGAGAGCGCTCACCCCACGATGTGTTTGTGTCTGTCAGGTTATGAGCTCACCGGTTTGGCGAGAGGAGGAGAGCAGCTCTCGAGGTTGAAGAGGAACTATGCCAGAGCTGTGGAGCTGCTTGTGGAGTTGGCCTCCTTACAGGTAGGAGGCGCTGTTACATATTAAAAGCATGCTTTATAGTTAGGGGTTTCCTAAAGTTTAAGTGGAAAAAAATTGCTCAATTTTGGTTTGCAGACATCTTTTGTCACTCTGGATGAAGCCATAAAGATCACCAACCGCCGTGTGAACGCCATCGAGCACGGTAAGCACACTTAACATTCAACTGCAACCTTTTATTAATACATTCATTTATTTATTTATTTTTTTAAATAAAAAAAGGGTTTGTGCAGCTAAAATCATTTTGAATCCGCTTTGCAGTGATTATTCCCAGGATTGATCGCACCCTCACCTACATCATCACAGAGCTGGATGAGAGGGAGCGAGAGGAGTTTTACAGGTGATGATGTTTTCTGTCTGCCTCGTGAAGGTTTTAGTGCATAAACCTAAAAAAAACTTATCAGGAGGCATCTTTTGCATGTTTATTAGATATTCTTGTTCCAACTAGCTGTCCACAGCTCCGAATTCATTCTGTCACTACCCCAGCAACTTAAGTCCAAAACCAGACTGCCCAATCCTCAACTTTTGGTTATAACACAGAATGTTCTCTGCTTTGCCAGACTGAAGAAGATCCAAGAGAAGAAGAAGCAGCTAAGGGAAAGGACGGAGTTGGAAATAGCCGCCCGTTTAGCTGCTCTGGGACCCATCGCTGAGCCCGCCAACATGCTGACAGAGGAGGCGGATGAAGATCTGCTGTTTGAGTGAGGAACATTACAGGCCACCGACTTCACTAATCCTTTTATTTATTCTGTGCCTCTCTGGCCACGTCTGTGTGTCTTTATGTCAGCGATGAAAGTTGTTTCTTTTTTTGTGTCCACGTCGTGATGATTAGTTCTGAGTGTTTCCAGATGTGTACAGGGATCAAAGTGCTGTTCGGTATAATACACAAGTGAGACCAAAGCAGTCTCTAACAAATTAAGCAAATATTACAATGAATATGTTTACACATGGTGTGCAAGTGATGATAAAGAAGCGTCCCGTGTGACCGATCACCTTGTAGATATTCAAGTTTTATCATATATAGAGGCATTGCATGCTGTACAGCTTAAAGTGGTTGTGGATTTCAGAGGGTGCGAGTGTGCGCCGTGGAGACCCGTCCTGCTGCTCACTTCATATCGTGCGGTTCCTGTTACCTCACTGCAGGCTGTTTACCATTTCACCAGAAGCCCCAATGTGACCCTGTTGTAAAATGTGATGTGCAAGTCAAAACAGCCCAACACTTCATCCAAATAAAGATGTTCTAAATATTCAACCACTGATTGAATTTCTTTTTTCCCCACTGGAGGGAAAACATTTTAAGTTCCATATGTGAAGACTGCTAAGAGACGGCTTCAAAACCTTTAATCAAGTGCAAATTATACTGTGTTTAAGCAAAATTAAATGTTATCTTTTTTCAAAGGAGATCCATTTCAGAGGTGTTCTCACTTTTGGATACATCCCATTTAAGTGAGAGGAGAAACTGAATAAGGAACTTATGTTAGTTACCCAGTGGCTCTGGCAAGAGTGGCACCACAGTAGATTTAGACACATTAACACTGTGTCGAAAAATGTTTTTAACTGCAATCTAAACTTATGAAAGAAAAAAAAAAACTCTAGCATGCTGATAAGTCTTTTGCCAGTTTGGTCAAATTTGTTTTGTAAACGTGCCTGATGGCCTTGATGGACATGGTTATTGCTTCCTGTTCTTAGCTGCAGCCGGTTTGATAGTCTACTGCTGTCACCCATCTGCTTCAAGGTTCAATTGTGCATTCGGAGATGCTCTTCTGCATACCTTGGCTCTGACAAGTAGCTAGTGGTTTAGACCAGCGGTCCCCAACCCCAGGGCCACAGACTAGTAACAGGTATCAGGCGGCGAGAGTTGAGGCTCGGGTGTGAAATTGATGGTTTTCAGGGTTTTTATTGTTAACTTGTCCTGACAAATACCCAAATATAACTATATAAAAAAAATAAAACTAACACTGAAAACAAAACCTAAAAATTCTCAAACATTAAAAGCTAAACTCAAACCACCAAACCTGGAATCTGAACTGAAATGGAAACTCAGAACTACAGAAAAGATAAAAAGAAAACCTTCTCTTTGATATAAAAGCCAGACAAAATATGTGACTTGTTCACATGTGTTTTATTTTATTAACAATTCATGAGCACAAAATTGTGCTTATGAATTTGCAAATGAACTGCAAAGAATCAATACAGTATTTGTTGGAATCACACTAACTGCTCTTATCAATACTGATAGAAAAACAAAAAAAAACAAAACCAGAAACTCGGCAGTACTTAGCAGCATTACTGTTTGTAACGACAACCAGCTACAGTGGTTTGTTATCACAGCGTAAAATCATAAAATGAGACACAAAATCAAATACTGACAATGGAAGTACCTCCAAACTGTGCAGATTACAGCAGATCTCTCTCCTGCACTTCTGAGTGGAAGACGGTGCCCTGCAAAAAGCACTGATGCTTCTCTTCTGTTTGGTACCTAAAGAGTTTCTGATCTGCTGCTTCATTAGGGAGTCAATTAAAAACCAACACATAAAGACTCCCACACACAAACTGTAACAGTAAAACACTTGATCCTTTGGTCTAGAAAATATGTATGTACAGTTATAAATAACTATTAAGCATAGAATAGAAATGGTTCTATTTTGTTGATAAATGACTTTGCATAAAACTGAGATCAACAGAGAAACAAAAATCACCAACAGACACACGCACACCGACAACAAAATCAAAGATTAAAATTGAGTCCATCCCTGTAACGATCACCTCCTCTACAATCGAGGAAAATGTGCAAGTCAAATTCCAGTGACAGTTTACCAACCGTCCCTGGTTCGTTTTTCACTCTCCAGTCTTCTGTTTACGTCCTTCGACTCATGGTGCTGGGACACAGTGACCTCTAACACAGCCAGGACGTGGGCACCCACTGGGGCTCAGTGTCCAGTTTATCTATCATCCTGCGCAGCTCGTGGAAAGCTTGGTCTGGATCCACGTTCAAGATGGTTGCATCAAAGTAGTGGCTGAAATTTTGCTCCATCTCGCGGGCCTTTTCAATGACCTCCTTCAGCATGTCCGGCTGTGCACAGGACATGGACATCAGTTCAAGAAACTGCAGTAGTGACTCTTATTATCACGTGTCTTCATTCTCAAGTCTTCATGAACAGAGGCAATGTTTATTTACTGATTTTTATATCTAAATTGGGATCCAATACATTTAAACAACGGTGTACACACATAAAAAACGTGCCTGGGACTTTTCCCCACATATTAACTGCGATCTATAAGAATGTGTCATGTGTACTTCACACCATGTGTACACACTTTTTTTTTTTAGGGTTAGTTTTTTTTTGAGTTTCAGTTCAAAATTGTTTTGTTAAAATTTAAAATAATTAAAAAAGGCATTTTTTTTTATTATGGAATCACCTTTTGTTCTTCATAAAATAATAAAACTGATTTGCCTTTCTCTTCGGGTGATGCTATAAATTCTTTTCTCTCTATAAGTTAACGCATAAATGAAAAGGATGAGATCTTGTTTTTGTTTTTTGATCCATTTTTTATTTTTATATCACCATCTTGGCCAGCACTACTTCAAAGACCGGTGCTGTGCTGACAGACTTTTGAAAAGCCGATGATGTGATGATGTCATTTTATTTAGTAAAGTGAGTAAAATTTATTTATTAATTAAGCGCTTTTCACAGACAAACAGTCGCAAAGCGTTTGTGTGGGCTTGGTTGTTTCTGAGACCATTAAACCAAACACCTTTCCTTCTCTCTACTTCTTTAGTCACAGTTTTGTCTAAGAGTTTATGGCCTAAAGAGTCTTTTTTCACAAGCAAAATTACCCAGATTAATTCATGACTAAAGCTGGGATTGGGAATTGAGCTAACAGTGTATGCAATTTATAAACAGGACTATGTACTGCTCTCCATGACTGATGAAACAATACCCCTTTCTGCCTTTGTGTTTACACACAATTTCACTTTTGTTTGGTTTGTGTGCATCTTGCCTCTAGTTTTACTATCTCATGGCGATTCTGTGAGTTAGAGACCAGTTTTTATGCAATATATGTGAGTAAATAATGGTCATTCCCTGCTCTGCCTGAACTATGTTTTCTTTTCTGAGCTGGTCAGCGTTTACCTTTGGTGTTTTCCCCTCTGTGGCCAGCAGGGTGCGTAGTCGCTCCTGAGAAGGAGGAGCTATGAAGATCACATATGGCTTAAGGTTGGAGGATCTCAGGACTCGCAGTGACTGACAGAAGAAAAAAATCAAGGCACAAAGAAACAAAATGAATGGAAAGAGCAACACAAGGAAAAAAAAACAGATTAAATATGGTGTCTTCAAATGTGTTATTTCAGCTTTGATCAGGCTTAGACAGGATTAAGACTTATGTTGAGGAAATGAAAGGGGGTCATTATGTTCTGGCAGGGCCACAGTGGTTAAGATCACAGATGAGGAAGGATCTAACGGGCTTTGTAATTAACATGTTAGTGTCTGGACAGTAACGAGGTCTCTTACCCTTGTGTGTAGGCAGAGCAGACAGATGCGTCCAGAGTTGATGACGTGTCGGACGGAGTCTGTGCTGGTGCCATACAAGTTCTTCTCGTACTCCCCCGATTCAATGAACTTTCCCGTTGCCAAGTCGGCTTCAAATGCAGAACGGGTTACAAAATGGTACTCGCGCCCATTCCGCTCATGTATCCTCGGGCTCCTGGTTGTATCTGAGCCGTTAAGAAGGACAGATATAACTGTTTTACATTTTCTGAGCTTTAAGTTGTGTATATATATATATACATATATATACATATATATACATACATACATATACATACATATATATATATATATATATATATATATATATACATATATATAATATATATACTATACACATATACATATACATACATATATATATATATACATATATATTATACATATATATATATATATATATATATATAATATACTATATATATATACATATACATATATATATATATATATATATATATATACACATATATATATAATATATATACATATTACATATATAATATACATATATATATACATATATATATATATACATATATAAATATATATACATATATACTATATATATAATATACATATACATATATATATACATACATATATATACATATATAATACATATATATATATATACACATACATATATATATATCATACATAGCAATAATAATATACACATATATAAACATATAATATAATACAAATATATATACAATATATACATATATATATATATATATATATATATATATAATCATATATATACATATACATATATATATATATACATATATATATAATATAATATACATATATATATATAATATATATATACATATACATATATATACATATACATATATATATATATATACATATACATATATATATATATATATATATATATATACACATATACATATATACATATATACATATATATACATACATATACATATATATATATACATACATATACATATACTATAATATATCATATACATACATATACATATATATACATATATATATAATATACATATATATATCACATATACATATATACATATATACATATACAATATATATATATATATATATATACATATATATATATACATCCATATAATAACCATATATATATATATATAATTATATATATATAACTTTCTTTTTTTTTTAATTTATCTGTGTGACAAACAGTTGTGCATTATGTGATAAGTTAAATGGTTTCACTTCTTTACTGAACACCAGAAACGCGTTCCGCTCATCATCTGAGGTCTGTGATTAACATTTCACGTCGCCTCGCTCTGGGCTCTGTTGCTTTGACCAAGCGGAGACTTACGTGGAACAGCGACAGCAAACTTCTCGGGTTCGATGGAAAGAAGCCTCCGGCGCAGCTCATCGTGACCGCTGTTTGTTGGGCCGATCAGAGCTATGGGGCGTTTGCGGTTGGCAGGCTGGTGATAGAGCGACATCTCCTCATAGGTCAGGATGTCATCGTAGTCTGAGGAGACAGCGTGGGAGGGGTTATTGAAACATCCCTGACCTACATACCAAATTACTTTGAGCTCTTGGGCTGACCTGTGACCTCTCTGTGGAGGATAGAAAGATGCATGGGATTAAGAGTTCAATAAATTTACTGTGTTTGAGTAAAGTTTTTTTTCCATAGTGCTTCATATCTGACCCTCATGGCTCACAGTCTGCCACTTTTAGCCGTGGATCAGGTTCATTAGAACAGTATGTGTGCTACTTAGTGAATATTTGTGTTTCTATGTGTGAGCCAATCACAGCACAGGTTCCTCCAAGCCATTTAGGCACCTGCTGGTCACCTGTTCGTGCGCCCTCTGATCCTGTCTGTGAGGGTAGGACTAATCTGACCGGAGACACACCAAGTCTGATCAAGCTGAAGTGAGAAAGACGAGACGTGTCAGCTCTGGTGTGGAAGTGGTCTTTCACGTGTGATAAAGACAGAGCGACACTGGGTTAAGACTGTAACCAGAGCCCACTTTTAAATGGGATTATTGCTCAAACCACTGAAGAGCGACACAAGAGAAGAAAGCCTTACCTGTACTTTTGCTGGACTGTGACGTGCTCTTCTTCCTCTGTTTCTTACTCTTCTTTGGGTACCAATTCTTCCCTGTTATTACAAAGAAATTTGCTTTAGAAGGCAAATTATCACAAGACTGTTAAAACACGCTGAGCACGTTAACTTCGTCTTACCTTGCTGCTCTCGACTTCTGTCTGTTAGAGTTTTCTTTAATGTCTCTCTCTGTTGCTGGAAGCTCTTACCTTAAAAAAAAAAGAGAACGTACAGACAGTTATTAGTAATTTATATAAATTCTATTATACTGGAACATTATTTGTGCCTAGACTGGACGATTACTACGTGGCCAGAAACCACCAATATTACAAATCCTAAGCTTTTGCAAGCCTACTATTGTTTTTCTTTCTCTACCTAAAGAGGGGGAGACAAAAAGATGGCCCGCTTTCCATTTCCAGTGCTTAACCCACTCTTTCGTCCCACCACAACAAGGCCTAGGTCAGAAAGTAATCACAAATAATTCTCAGGTGTTTGCTTTAATCTGCTTGACGTGCCAGATGGATGCTGATTCCTGCCAGGGTAGTAGTGCCAGATTAGCTATTAGTCACTTTCAAGTACTCTTCTGAGACTGGGTTTCCAGTTACTAGAAGGGGTCGAGCACATTACTGGCTTATCATTATTTTATAAGAAGCTCTCCTATGTAGCCCATGCATTAATTATTAAAGATTTTATTTCATGTATCATCTCTCAGAAATATGCCATTTTGGAAAGTTGTTACCACGATGTGAATTAATTATGTGTGTACGCTATAGGCAGTGTCACAGTTATTCTTTCTGGCAATTTTAAGTGTGTAACCCCACAAATAGTATTCGCTTTGCATATATCCATATACGGGCTCCAGTTTTTTGTGTTGCTTTTCCATTATAGATGATACTCAGTACATCTAGTAATGATTAATAATCAACAAATCTACCCAAGTTATATAATTTCATATCTTAATGTGCACATTTCCACGTAGCATTTTGTTTGTGCTTACTGACCGACGGTTTAACCGACCACAAAAATAAATACAATTTAATTAAGTTTTATTTATATAGCGCCAAAGTACAACAACAACAAAGCTTCGGTGTGCTTTATACTGTAAGGCAAAGACCCTACAGTATTCTGGAGAAAACCCCAACAATTAAACGTTCTCTATGAGTAAGCACTTTGCGATGGTGGAAAGGAAAAACCCCCCTCTTAACAGGAAGAAACCCCCAACAGGACCAGGCTCAGGGAGGGGCAGCCATCTGCCACGGATGGTTGGGGTGTGAGGGGAAAGAGAAAAGAATAAATAAAAAAGAGCTACTCATACCAAAACAGGAGCTTAACATTAAATAACATTTTACTACTCCTCCTCTTACACATTTGAGCCTTGTACATTGCAAAAAGTATTAAAAAACAGCATGTATATTTTAAAATATAATACGATGTGGGGGGTTTTAATATAGTTATATGTCTTTTATTACTCCATGCTGTGTGTATGACATCACAACTATAGGTATTTGTATATATTATGCAGTATTATGTCCTTGCTGTTATTATTTGTCCTTGTTAAGCAATAAACTTCATAATGACATTCAGCTCCGGTCTGACTTCTACCTGGAATGAGTCCAGCCAGGGGCTGGTTTTCCTCATCTCCATCCCTGTAGGCTTGCCACCAGTTGGAGTCATCCTGGCTGATGACATGGAGTATATCTCCCTTCTGGAAGGACAGGCCAAGCTCTCGACACGGCACGAAGGGGTCATCAGACGGGTCGTAGTCAAAGTACGCTCGTACGTGCATCTGAGGGCAGGGTTTTACATTGTGAAGGACTCTTGCACGCATGTAGACAGGCCATCTCACGCACATACGGCCACATACTGTAAGATACTTACCACAGTCTGTCTGTGCGGGGCAGGTTTAATCTGAGAGCTGGGGATGAGGAGGAAGGTCAGAGTGCCATGCATTTGTTGCTGTGGAAAACATGAATTGCAAAAAATTGAACACAACAGGAATATGAAGAGACATTATTCATTTACTTGTAATTTAGGAGATAGATTTTATATTCTGAGAGCACACTTAGTTCAAACAACTATTATTTGCATATCTTTTTTAAATGACAGCTTGAAATTCAATTTGCCTAAACAACATTTTTTTTTAGCAGTAACATTATTTTATCTATTAATAAGAATTATATGTTAAAACTCTTTTAGAAATATTCATTTATTATTTCAATTTAGAAATAATCATTTTTTAAAGTTATATTCTCTGTGAGTGAAACCTACTGCAACCAGCATCTCAAGTAAGATACCTGTTTTATATATATATATATATATCCCGATGCCCTTTGTGACATTAAAGTTACAAACAAAGTGTCCAGGTAGCAGCAATCTGAATGTTCATTACAACATGAAAAAGTATTTGTCCCCTTCTTGATTTCTTAGGGTTTGTTTTGCATATTTGTCACACTTACATGTTTCAGATCATCAAACAAATTTAACCCCTTAAAACCTGAATCATGAGAGACCTGTCAGAAATCTTTAATTTTTTGATAATGGAGTGTTTGTTGAATCTTTAGACAAAATATATAAAAATATATCAAATCTGCATATGTGAGTTTTAATTTGAAGAACATTTGCTACATAAATAATATTTTCGCAATTTAGTAATTAAAAGTGTGTCATGCAATTTCTATCATCTTTTGGGGTAAAAAAAAAGTCACACTGATGATGTAGAAGTCTCAAAAACTCACAAAAACACATGTATCAAATATGATCTGCTTGGCTTTAAAGGGTTAATAGTAGTCAAAGATAACCTGAAGAAATACAAACTGCAGTTTTTATTTTGGATTATTTAATTTATTAAGGGAAATAAAATCTGCCCACTTATTAACTGGTTGCGGCACCCTTGGCAGCAAAAACTGTAATCAATAACTGGCAATAAGTCACATTGCTGTGGAGGAATTTCTGCCTTTTCTTCTTTGCAGAATTATTTTAATTCAGCCACACTTAGTAATCCTTACTTGGATTAACTTTTATCCATCTTTGATCTTAAAATCTGTTTGATGAGCTGACGTTTAAGATTAAGTTAACATTTATGGGGGACAAATATTAAAAAAAAGAAATCAGAAATGGGACAAATAGTTTTTCATGTCACCGTATTGAAATACTTTGTGCCATTATTAAAACAAAACAAACTGCTATGAAAAATAAAAGAGCACTTGAAATTACCAGCAAGTCGTGGACTTCATTGACGTGTTTCCCACGGATAGAAATCCCGTTGATCTCCAGGATCTCATCTCCTTCACTGAGGAGGCCACTCCGCTCTGCTGCTCCGCCCTTTACAACACGGCTCACCACCACACTGTCCATGTCATTACGTACTGTTGCACCCTGATGACCACGCACAGACACACACTTACAAAGTTTGTACAGATGGCATAACAAGAAAAAGACCTTACATTGAGCAAAGACACAAGTCTGAAGACACAAGGAGAGGAACGGGTGTGAATACAAAGAAATGCGACCACCACTTTCATTTCCAATTCATTCCCATTGGATATGGGACACTCAGGCTGACAGGGACTCATTCTCCTCCACAGTTTGAATGCAACAACCCTTCCAATTCCATCCTCATTTCACAGGAAACCAGAGTCAAAGGAGAAACATATGTGGGCGCTAGGGCAGGTAGTTAATGATGACTATGTACTGGTGCATGAAGACATGACTTAAGTAATTTCTGCTAACTATTCTCCCTTGGAGGCCAAAGGATGTTATAGTACAACTCTACATTTAATATTAAAAGGATTAGTATACCTTGCTTGCATTCCTAACATGATGAGCCACCTTTGGGAGTGGTATTGTAGGCTCAACTGAAAACTACCATCTGGTATCTGTTCTCTTCTCTACTGATGAAGTAGGGTCAGGTTGACAGAGAAGCTGATGTACACTACTGAAAGTAAGCAGTTTACAATCCATGATGAAATCGCAGATACACATGTGCAACTGGTCAGAATGAGACTTTCAGACAGTGAACTCAAAGTAAGAAGCAGCGCAGAGACATACGACGAGATAATCTTGAAGGAACACTAGCAAAAATGAAATCAGGTGAGGCATTTTTATGACATAGCTAATTTTTATGGGTTGTGTTGCAATAAATTATGATTGCCTATCCTTGTTACCATGTTTCTTATTCTTTCTTTGCAGATACAACCAAAAAAACTGATGACATCTCACCAGTGGAGTGTCTCTGGCCTTCTCCAGCCGCACTAATTTAACCGTCTCTCCGAGGTACTGGGTCACACTTTCCTCTGCCATTTCCTGCACTGCCACGCTGTCATGGGCCTGCATCAGTGCCTGCAATGCAAACACACACATATATTGTAGAGAAAGAGTATGATCATGCAGAAATATACAAACATGTAGTGAACAAAAATAAAGTGTGAAAGGAATAAATGAGGACTTGAGGAGAAACAAAGGATGCTGCGTTCTATAGCAGTTGACATGGGAAATAAAATGATCATAAATCTTATACGGTTTTAATCAAATTCTTCACTGCTGTGATTTTTTAATGTAAAATGATGAAAGACGAAGTGATACCAAACAAGTTTCCAGACCCCTTTGACATGCACCTGCAAGCAGAAGCATCCTGCCACCCAATCTTTTTTAACAAGACCAGTCTGCAAACCCACCTCTAAGCCAGAAATAATACAGATATTGCTCCTTCACTTCATTTAATGTGACAAGCGCTCGGTACCCCACGATTAATAACCGTCGGTCCAAATTAGTTTCTCTATCCTGCAGCAGAGGGGACCTGAGAGAGCAGAGGCCGGGCTAAGCTTTGGCATACACGCAATCCGTCTTACTCTCCCCTGCATTTAGGAGTCAAAATGCACGGCCATCAATCATCAAACACCTTTGGCTGGACTGCTCCCGAGGAAACGGTGTCCCAGAAAACAATGAGAGGGAGACAAGGGGACTTGAGGGGGCCCTGCTCGTCTCTCACATGTCTCTATTAGTTTTTCACATGAAGCTGTTTACCTGTACTACAGGGTGACTCATGTGAGCCTCTGCTCCCTGCAGAGAAACCAGCATAATCTGTTCCAATTTCTGTGCCACAAGGCAGGCTCACATCTCATCACTCTGCCCCTGCCGGCTACACGGTTCCAACTCAGTGGAGGGGTTAACCGACATCGGGGGTGGGAGATTGCGATGCTTCACACGGTCATCTGGGTCAAACATCAGACCCCGTGGCGCTCCCCTGTCAAGACCCTCAACCATAAAAATCATAGCAGAGTAACGCACCTGGGGTCTTTTCTCACCTTAGTGCCTCGCTAATAGACGATGACAGCCTGATAATGTGACTTCATTTTTTCCTACAGAGGAGTCACTTTAGTCTAAACTGACAAAGGCAGAGTGTCACGCAACATCGAATAAATGCAGTTTCTGTTGTTCTTTTCACGTTGACACGCCAATTTTTTTAAAACAAAAACTCCCAATGTAATGCTGCAGGGGTTACCCAAAATGAAGCGTGTAATGTTTTTTTATTTTGTTTTTCTTTTAAAACAGAGCTGTGGGAGTGGCCTTTGTCTACTGCAATGCTAATGTTTCTGTAAAGATGCAAAAAGCAGCACATGAGAGAGGAGCATCTTAATTGTCCAGTTGGTCAGCTAGGCCAGCAGCAGTCTTTGGCAGTGTACGTCAGGTCATTACTACACGGGTTACGGACAAGTCGGACCTCGTTATGTTGAACTGTAGCCATGTCACAAACAGTGGACAAAAAAGCTCTTTAAGCAGTCCGACAAGAAGGTTGCTCAAAATTACATATGCGTAATTTAAGGACAGATACAGCATTTCACCAATTTACAAATTACATATACCTAAAGTCATATTGCCACATTTAAGTTTAAATTTTAAGTGTCTCTCCATAATAAGTAGGCATGGGCCAGAATGGTCCTTTTTTTTTTTTTTTAACAAATTCAATTTGTCTGACATCATTAGTGCTAATTTCAGTGAGACAACTCCAGTTTAAAATGATTTATTACAGCGGCAAAACATAGTTAGAGGCTGGCATCTAATTTCTGAGCTCATCCCTCCCTGCAAATATGATTGATGAGTAAATACCCCGCTGGAGACTACATATGGATACTGGGTTGGAGGATGGCTCAAAACAGGTGGGAGTGGAGATGGGCAGGACTGACATGTCAAAGAAAGTGATGGTATATTCTGCAACTTGAACAGACCGGAGGAGGGAGTGTTTGGACACATGAGCATAAAGTGCTAAAGCTTGAGCTCAGTGTTTGTACTCCTTGCAGAAAAGCTCACCAAAACACTACTGCTTCAACAACACTACACATCTCTATTAAAACTTGTGGTTGTGCTCAGTAAAAATGTGTAAAAAATAAACTAGCATAACAAACCTAATTTTTCACAACCTTTATTAAAAAAATAATTTAATTAAAAAAATTAATTTAAAGGAGGTGGATGAACAACACACCAAATGGCTAATTTAAACTGCTTGATGAATAAGTTGATCTTGAAAAAAAGCCTGACACACACACACACACCCTGAATAACACCTAAAAATAAGAGTTTTAGAATTAATATGTCATAGAGGATTTAAGGTCTTTAATAACCATCCGCCCTGGCCAAGTGTCCTTGATCAAAACAGTAAATTCCATCCATTTCATAACCCTGTGGCTGTAATGATGGAGAGCCTGACCTCTATATCTTTCATTCAAGAGAAAGGGCCCTATTTCACCTTCTAATAAAGTGCATATGACAGCAACAGAGATGTAAAACTGTCCAACTGTCTCTGAGCTGGTAGGCAGCCAAGTCTTATGGTTTATTGGCATATTCTATACTTCCACTAGGACCTCTGACATCCTAGTGGAAGGTGCAAGAAAAACAATTAGCCTTTTGGAAAGAGTCCAGTAAAACATTAATTATATTTCCAGTTGTGCAATTATCAGAATATTAACTAAATAAATGAGTTGGCCCAAAAGGTTCTGCAGGCTTTCTCGGCCTCAATGGTGCTGCCTTATAATAAAATTGCAGGTAAGGAGAGGTCATGGCTGGGAGGCTGATCTCTGACCTGGAGATGAGGATTGGTGAGCAGAGCTCTGAGCTCTAAACCCTCCTTATGTTGGCTGGACTGGAGAATCTTCTGTACCTGAAGAGAAACAGAGACACACCACAGTAAAATAATTCTGTCAAGAGCTATAAACAGTGCATCAAGTCAGAACAAACTGTCAACGGCTAATTAAAAACGTTTAACACAATAGGGACAGTCAACCTCTTAATCTTTTATAACATGACTTTTAAGTCATCTAATAAGTCACGAGAATCCAAGTAAAGTTAGAAAGTTAAATCCCCCTTTATCAAATTGACAGATATCAAATGTAGACCTCAAGGATAATTATGTATCCTATTTACTAACTTTACAAGGTTAGTTCTTCTTTCACACTTTAACATCTGAAAGCAAACACTTGATAGTTCCATGGTCTTCTCCTTACTGTACAGCTAAGGGGTCTAACTTTTTATGCATAGGAGTACAACGCTATGATGAATAATATATAAGTAAAATGTGCATGAAAGGTTTCAACTAATGACTTTATCACCATTGTCATGGACATTATTTTCTGAATCTGCGCTGTTGTATCATATTTTACAAATGTAGCTCTTTCATCTTGTGACCCTCACTTGCTGTCTGGGTACCAAAACGTACATACTGTAAATATCTATATGAAGTTTAGATGCTAAACTGTTCCCATCCTAAACCCACGTACACCATAAAAACCATGCTAGTGGCACATTCTGGTAACAAGCCTGTGGCATGGAAGAAATGTTTTCCAAGAAAACTGCAAGACAAATAACATTTTTGAAGTGATCTATGTATAACACAAGAATTTCCAAACATTTGGGGGGGGGGGAAAGTATATCTTTCAAAGTGCACACAAACATAGGTCCCTCACACAGAGTTAATTTGGAACCGCTCATGTAACTCACAGCAGGAGTTCGAATTCCGTGCAGAAAACTGCTCTACATACAGTCTTGTTAAATGCAAGTTTCATCCTGTGTTTATAATGTGCGAACTTTGTGTTTCACCAAATTTAACAAGCACTGGGGACTGGAAAATCCCCGATCTGAACGGCAGCATGTCAAAATTCTGGTCAATTTCCAGCCTGTCAAAAAATGTCCCAGTTTTCTTTCTTTCCTCTCTTTCTCTCTGTGCCATTTTAATCCTTTGGCTCTTGTGTTGTAATTTCATGAAACAATGCAGTGGCTGTGGCTTTGGACTCTTCATGAATAATCGCTAATTATTTTGGCCTTCTGTTTCTTCCCCTTCTTCTCTTGTTTGGAGCTTAGTTCATCCGTTACACTAATCAAAGCTCTCACTAACAAGGTGACGCACTTTCCCTTCCCCCCCTTAGTGGTGCGGCGCCGCGGCCCACGCTGCTGTAAGCTGCTGGAGTTTCTTTTTCTGGCCGCCCAGATCCTGGCTTCCTTCCCGCAGTGCGCTGCACTGCTCAGCCAGCATCAAGGGCTGCCGAGAGATTAGTTTACCCAGTGGTCAAAGTGAGTGTCACACAGAACAGCCACTTAGTTTAGACATGCTGCAGCTCAAACTTTAATGCACTGATAAGCGCTTCGGGAGCTGGCCCGGTGGATGGGTGCGCACACTGATTTACTGTACACAAGAAAGGGAAGGGAAGACAATGTGCTGTGTGTGTGAGGCAAAACAGATCATCACACCCAGCCTCTTTATCTTCAAACCACTCCTGTCATGACTGGAATAGCAATTCTGTTGCAGTGCTGCTTGCTGGCCTTTGAATGAACTCTACACAGCTCACAGTCTGTTTTGTTGACACAAGTTGTACTATTACACATCTAGCCATCAGCTAAACATCACACTGAACGATGTCCTGAAAAGTCTCCATTACATTCTTTCATGTTACACCTATCACAAGTTGACACTAATCCTAATGAAGTGCCTATTGTGGGTGTAACTTGTCACAGATATACAGAGCTTCTATGTGTTTCATGGCAAACCACATCAGAATTTCAGTCTTTCTACAAGGTCTGTTCTGTGTGACAGGCTCTATTTTGAACACTGTGTGCAGAGGCTCAGTTCTGCTGGGACACAAATCAATTACTGCTGCTTTGCTTCAGCAGAGACCAGCTGGTGTTTTGTCAACAAGGAATTCAGGTGTGGCAGATTACCACCTACTCAAACCTAAAGATTGAATTGGTTTGTTGCTCTCTGTCACCTTCTGTACTGCAGCTCTGCAGGCACTGTAAACTGTTATTTAAATAGAAAACAGCAACTACCCGATGAAAGGTATCAAAAATAAAAAAATTAGTTAAAAAACACTCATTATTTTTTATATTTACAAATAACCTGAAATACACCTTCCTCCTTTATTTCCCTGTCATATCATCCACTTTTCAACCTAATTGTCATATTAACGTTCTTGAATCTCTTTTGTTGGCAGCTCACTCAATTTTTATGCGCAGCCTGGATCTCACATATCCCTCATTTTTGTTTTGACTCACCTTGTTAACCGCAAGACAATTTACATTTCATAATTATTCAGACTGGCATGGCTGTCTTTTGGGCAGCTTTGTTGAATTAATCATCACCTCGAGCAAAGATTTTTCACGCTTCACTGAGTTTGCTCAGTTGCTTTACTCACATATGCGCTTTGAAAGCAAATATAAACTGAAAGGGTCCAAGGAATTAGGAATTAGGAATTGCAGCCTGAGTGCCTTTTTGCCTTTATGCATAAAATGCAACCTCTGCAGAGGCCACCCTTGGACTAATGAGGTACAAAACTGGTTTTGTGACGTGGTTCAAATAATTAAAGTGAGGGCTTCATTATTCTCAACGCAAGACTGTGGACAGCTTCATCTGCAAATATAGTATTGTATATTTGTATACATAGTATTGCCAATGTTTCAGCCGTAACAAACAACTAGAAAATGATCATCCCACATACCTCCAGGCAGAGGTCTTGAGCTTGTGATGTAAGGGGGGAGGTGGGACTGACTCTACTCATCTGCTGAGACACAGCGCTGTATATTGAATAGGCAGTCCTGAAGTCTTCCTTAGTGAGGAGCTGCGTTATAAGCTCCACATCCTGCTGGCTCTGAGCATCAGTCAAGCAGTGCTGCACCCACTTCAGAGTCTGCAGCAACTCCTCCAGCTCTGAGAAAGAATCACAGACAGTGAGTAGGGGAACAATAGTACAGAGGCAATGCCGAGGAAAAGTCAGGACTTTAGCTTTTAGTCCTTTAAGTTTAAAATTTTCCTCATTGTTTGTCTTCTAGGTTTACTTTTCTGGCAGCATAGCTTCTTACTGCATTTAAATTCTAAGTCTTATACCTGTATATCAAAGTTTTCCACTAGCACATTCTGTATTTGGCCCAGGGTAATCTCTAGCTATATCACACACAGATCTACAACCTTAGTACTGCAGCACACAAGCTGTCTGTTGCTCTTAAAACATGTTATTTCTAAGTCATGTACAGAATATTTTCATTTTCAGAGGCATAATTACTTTAATTTTAGTGGAACTAGAGCTGATTTTGCTCCACTGCTTTCAAAGGTAATAGCCACCTCTGCTGCAAAGCCACCACGCATACTGTACATAGTATGTTTCTGCTAAATGAATAGTTGTTTACTTTCAGTGCAATGAAAATATAAAAAGAAGGTAGAAAATTTTAAGATTAGCAGTGCAATCTTCAGGAGTCATGGCATAAGAAAACATTTGGGAGCAAAAATCAAAACAATAATTAGACATCTTGCTGTGGAGGTCCAGAAATTTGCTCCCAGGCCACTAGTTATCTATGAGTCTTTATTTTTAGTCAACCTTTGTTTCAGTTCAGTAGTTGCTACAGTGTTTACACTGGAGATTTAATATGGAAGATAGTAAGAATACATTTTGTGGCATCCTTTTTTTTTTCACTTCACATTTTCTTGGACAACGTTCATGAAGTAGTTTACAGTCTAGAGTAATGTTCATTATTATTTACTACTGACTGAAATTAGATTTTATAACTGAACGTGCTAAAAAGTAGCTTGACACCAATATCATCTGAAGTATTTATATAGTAAAGAAATAATAGAAACTTTGAACTAATCCTACAGAATATTGTGTGTATTTTATTATACCACAGCAAAGCTCTGTCAAACCAAAGTCTTAGACGGGTCAAGGTACACAGGCACTGTCTGTGAAAAAAAAAAAAAAGATAAGACCCTGAAGACCCGGTAAAAGTTACTTCCCAGGAAAATCACACTGTCCAGCTGTGATAAAAAAAAAAAATTATTATCATTATTATTATTACTACTGTTGTTGTTGTTATAAATACATTAGAGTAAGGGCTGAAAAAAATTACCAGTACTTTAACAATTTGTATTTTACCCACTAAAATAAGGCTCATACTACATAAATCATGATCACTGAGTGCATCTTAGTTATATACTGATGACTTTAAATGATCTTAAACTGTATAGAAAATATAACAAAGACACTTTTTTCAACATAAACAAACAAAAAACATGTTGATCCATAGTGGTGCGCTCATATTATGCCATACACTCTTCTTCTAACAACATTTTTTTCCTGGAATGCTGAATTTTTATTTTATTTTTTATTAATTTTATTGCTATTTCTGGTTTCTGTTATTTTATTACTATATTTATATTTGTATTGTACAGCACTTTGGTCTACCAGGTGTGTTTTTAAAGTGCTATATAAATAAATGATGATGATGATAATGATGATGAATTTTGTGCTGGGTTCAGCTAATCACGCGCCCTATGGTAGCTGGGATAGGTACCCTGCAACCCTGAAAAGGATAAGTGGAAGAGAATGAATGGATAGGTTCAACTAATCAGTGGAAACTGGACATCAGTGACACCAAACCAACCATCTTTAGTAACATCTTTCAATTTACCCTTTCACTGTTTAGTCACTAGTTTGACTCTTTCTGTTTTACCAAAATTTTTTCTTAAGTATGCATACATCCCATTCTTTCAGGCATGTCTTCCTCACTGCAATCTCTCACTTCACACCTGTTAACTCACCGACTACAGAATCCAGGGAACATGTGTCTTTGGTGGCTTTTTCCTTTCCCTCAAAGGTGGGATTGTCAATGCCCACTTTAGGGTTCTGCGACAGCTTCTTGAGCCTTAGGGAAGAGTTGAGGTCAATTTCATGCTTCAACCTGCTGTCCTCTTCCCTCCTTTTTCTCAGCTCCTCTTGGTAATGCTGGATCCTCTCCATGTGGGCACTGCACTGTGGAGATTTGACAAGGCTGCTTTCATCCCCTGGACAGTCCACGGCCCTCTCCCTGTGGCTCTTGATCAGGCCTGAGGCCTCTTGCACATAACCGTTCATATGGGATGTGATCATCCCTGCTGCAGCAGTGTACCGCTCAAAGCACTCCAGTGTTTCCTGAGATCTGCTGGAGTGTTAGGAGGGACTGATGCTGAGACTGCTCAACTCAGGGGCCATACTGAAGCAGTGGAAGATGTAGTCCTTTTCCCTTTTTCTGTAATTTGTCATCCTGAAATTCAAACAGAAAGTTTCAAAGGTTTAAAACACTTCCTCTAAGTGTTTACATGCTTAATTCTAAAATATCTTTGAGGTCTTTGCTGCCAGCACATTTACTTTTTCTATAATTTTACAGATTGTAAATTAAAAAGAGTGTCACTTAATTTATAAATAAATGTTTCAACAAAAATCTTGATTTGTTTCTTGTTGTTGTTGTTATATGCTCTCAGCATTTATTTGTTCACACTTGAAATAAAATACACCCATAGAAACATTTGCAAGCCTTATTAATGTAGTCTACGATCATGTAATATAAACTATGATTTAAACACACTATTTAATATTAATTTATCATTTAGACCTATTTTGAAACTAAATATGCAAAGATTTCCTACTTAGTTTCTCAAATCGTTTTCCCTTCATCTTAACTTTGCAGTAAAGTGAATATGTTATAGGACTGTTTTAGACTGCTACTACTAAGTAGCAGTTTCAGAAGTTGCCGTCTGAACCTGAATAACTGTGTTACTAAAAAACTTGCTCAGGCATGTAAACCTCATACTGAATCTGTGATGTTTCAGCAGCCTAGACTTGTCATGTTGAAGTTCTTTAACGTCTCAAATGACTCACATTGCAAAATTTCAGTCATGCTGAGACTTTGTGTTGCCTGTTGATCAGTGCCAGCACCGGCTCCCACGTCCTCTCATCAGTCTCACCACTAATCTAACTCCTAACAGGAAAGGCTTTTTAACCTTAGTCAATTAAAATCCCTTGAGTGCAGCTCCATCCAGCCATTTTCTTGTTTACACTTATCCCTAATTGCTCACCTGAAAAACTTAATCAACTCTATTGTATGTATGGGTGCCCATTATTCTATTACATACATGTATATAGTAACTGCTACTTTATTTACTTTTAAGGACGTAACATGCATTCATTTGATTCTGGTAGTACAGCAGACATGAAGCTTTGGTCAATTCATGAGAAAACCCCCCAAAAAACTTTCAATAAGTGAGTAGTGAAAGTGTTTTATAACAGGACATGTAGAAAGCCAAAACCATGTCTTGATTTCTTACATAATGTGTTTGTGTAAATACCATATTGTGGAATAGCTAATACAACCAGCTATGGCTTAAATACATTTCAGGATTAAAAGCTTGATTTTGAAAGCTTTCACCTGACCTTATTGCAAAGGCTTTGCAGTTAAGACAACCTTTACATGCAACAATAAAATAAATATAAACAAAAACTGTTGCTGAATGCCACCTCTCTTTTGTAGTAAGTCATATACTCACGTCACCCATCACTACATGGCAATCCCCCCCCCCTTTTACCTACTTCTCAAAGCTAATTACGGCTGGCAGTCTTGTCTCTCAAACCCCTCCCTCATGGAAGCATTTAGCTGTGTTTAGAGTGGCGATGTACTGCTGACAAACAGCAAAGACTGCCAGCGTACCATCTGTTCCCAAGGGCTTAATTAAGCATGGGATCTCATCCTAGCTTGGTGGCCACAGCAGAAGTGGGAGGGATGCTGGGAGGGGACAGGATACCTGTGTGGAAGACTGAGCATGAATGGGCACACACGCACACAGACCCACTCACCCACCCACCTAAACATAAGCAAGTAAGACAATACAAACAAAAAAAAACTGGTTCCAGTTAGATATTTGCTCAAGGGATTAAATATTTCTGGGAAAATAAATACTAATGCCAAATTAGACAGCGATAAATGGCTCAAATCAGCTCACCTACCTACAAAAAGATTTAGGTGACAGTGGAACACCAAACATATAAAACCCTTACAAAATAACATCATGAAGGAGGACATCCCATGACCACACACAAATAAATAGGAAACGTTATCGTGAATCACCCTGAATTCCTAGTTTTTCAGACTATGGCTCCATTAAACTTATCACCCCGAAATTAGCTTTGAGCAAGTCCTGGAATATTTGTCATGTATGTCATTTACTTACTGAGAGCAGTTTAAAAGTCCTGAAAAATGTTTGTCAAGTGAACATGGTGCACATAATAATTTTGCAACAAAAGTGTTAAAGCCTGCTCCGAGGATAAGGTATTACAACTCACTGTAAAATGCGGATAGCACCCTACACTGGCATGCTTTTTCTCGGCCAGTTTCTCTTTATATGGCCTTACAAATGATTTCATAATAACTAGTAAACATGGGAAATGGGCTTGTACCATTCCAGCATAACAGTAGATACTGTGAAATGTCTAATAAAGGCAAATAAAGACACAAAAATGCTTCTTAGTTAATTGGTAACTTTAAAATTTGCACAGTGAATCTTAAAGCACTTGTAATTTACTTTCTATTCCCAATGAGACACCAACTGTCTTGTTAGTAACAAAGGTAGAAATAAAATAAAATAAATGAGTTTCAGTTCATAGTATCCATAATTCACTGAAAATATGAATATGATAAATTTGACATGATAGCTGGAACAGGCAAATTGTAAGGAGTTAGTGTCTAAATATTACTTATTGGGTTGAAACATTAATTTGTAGCTTCGTACAACTTTTAAAAAGTAGCAGCACATTTCTACAAAGCAGTACCACATCCGCTTAGAATAAGCAGCGGTCCTAATTTAAAAGTGTAAAATTGGATTTTTAATCAGCTAACGTAACAATAGCAAGGAACTTAGCTTAGTAGCATGGTACCGCTAACTGCGTAGCTTAACGGTAACTGTCCCGCAACAAACTCGGTGTACTTACCGCTTTAAAAAGAGCGAAGTGGATGAGATTTTCGTATTATTTTACTGTCCGTCGCTCAGAAAACGTGTGATTTGTTCACACAAGTACGAGCAGGATAAGGAAGACGTGTCTCCCGGTCTTCACAGAACCATGTTCAGCCGCTGCTGTGAGTTTTGTCCGGGCACAGTCGGGAACACTTGTGGCCATTGCTGTGGAACTGCGCTTGTTGTTTTGAGTCGTCTCCGTGGCAACACTTGCGCCCCACAGCGCCCCCTCCCTGTCAGGCACGCGATGACCCCCAATCTGCCGAACTGCACCATGTACTTGAAGCCGATTAGATCAGTGACGCAGTGAGTAAGAGTGAAAATTTCCCCCATAAAATCCCTGTTAAAAGTCGTGGAATCAACAATAAGGTTAATTTTGTTTTCTTTGCTGAAATGCTGTGTTTATACATGCAACTATTCACTTGTGTGCAAATGTGCAGACTGCATGACAGAAAAGCAAGGTTCTAAATTACTGTTTCGTTTTGTTCTTACATTAAAGATAAGATCAATATCTTTTAATCACATGATAGATCACAAAATGTCAACAGTTAGGGAAAGAAATGCATTTATTTTTTAATAATTCACACTATAAATGAAAAAAAAGTGAAACCCTTTAGAATATAAACAGAAATAAAACTGGATAGTTTCAGAAAACACTCACTTTGAGAAAATAGCCTTTAGAGCACTGTATTTTTTAAATTCTTCCAAATTCGTATTGGAAACTCACAAATAATGCTTCATTTCTTGCCCAATCCTATACAAGGTTTTAACCTCAGCAGGCTTGACCACGTCTAAATGCCTAAATGTGGTTTCTCCCATGTGATTGAGTAATACGATATTTGCATAAACAAGAAACTGAACAGATGTAGCTAAAAACAAAGTGACCAGCGGGTGTGAGTACATATGAAACATCATTCATATGATTCTTCGCAGACTAGCGTGTGAGCGTTACTTTAATGCCGCAGCCTGTAAAAGTCAAGTTAGTTCTAAGCGCTATATAATTTATTTTGTGACTACATTTCTTGAAAATGTGCTCTAAAAGTCCAAGCTAACTGTAAATTAACCTGTCTTTATTTTAGTGAAGTAAAAGTGGCATAATTACCTCCAAAGTATAAAGTAGTATAAAACGGAATTAATGACAGCACATCCACAGATCACAAAATATCACAGTGAATTTTAAGGAAGCGTATATAAAATTACGACTGAAGATCACAGAGGAAGCTGCATCACACTTGGAGGACTGCCTTATTCTCCTCCTAATAATAATATTACTTTCTATAAGCTTTTTCAAAAGGTTCAAACAACAACTTAGTATCTTCAGAGAGGCTTTGACTGATCATAAATCCTTTCATTTGTTTTTTTTAATCTAAATGGCCTAATTTAGTTGAATGTATTTACAAAAACTAGACACTTATGTATATCTTCTAATGAATAAACACAGTCATTGCACTTGAGGGTATGAAGAAAGCGCCATTATTCCTGCCGTCATCTTCACTCTTATCCTCTTACATTCAACACATTTTACACACATCCACACTGATGACTTTAACTAAGTTCTTGTCACAGTACTATTATTCATTGCAAGCTAATTGGATCTACTGTCATTTTACCTTGCTGAGAAGAAGAGAAACTGTCTAATCTCAAGCTGCCTAAGAAATATCTCCACTGAAGCCAGGAGCTGCCTTTTCTAGCCGTACTTTCTATTTGGTTAATCCTTTCTGACACTTTTGTGCTTAACCTCTTTTCCTCGTTAGGCTCCCTTCTGCCAGTTCCCAATTCTTAAATACTTAGCTTCCCTAGAAAGATAGACAGTTAAAACCTCCTAGGCTCTTCCAATGCAACTGATTTTTTCATGTTTATCTAAGGAGCAGTGAGTAAAAGAAGTACTAAAAAAGTAACCACAAAAAAAAAAATTAAAAAAAATTAACAGTGTAAAAACCGTTAAACTGTGAAAAAATCTCAAGCCATCTCTATTTTTTTCTATATATGCTAAGAAAATGGGAAACAGATGCAGTGATTTATTGAAACATGCGCAAACATACATGGAAATGCATTGAGGCAAAACCAAGTTGGTATAATTCTAATGAGCTTGAAAGTCAATATTTGGTATGATCACTTTTATTTCTCACCACAGCCTCTCTTAAGCCCCTTTTCCATTAGTATCCACTCAGATCAGCAAACTCTCTTATAATTTCTTTAAGTAGTCTTCAGGAATAGTTTTTCAGGCTTCTTGAAGGCTTCTTCAAACCTCTCTTTTGGAATTTCGGTGCCTTTTGTTCTTTTCTCTGTTGAGATGATCCCACACTGCTTCAATAATTTTGAGGTCTGGGCTTTGGGTAAATCAAGCCATGACTGACTATCCAGTTATGCATCAAACAAGACCTCAAGACAAGATGGATAGTGAACAGCAGATGGATACACTGAAGGTCTACATGCTTCTCTCAGGTTGTGTTAGATTTTTTCCTCTTCTTTATGTCATTTTTTTGTAGATTCAAGTAAAGAAATGGAAATAAATAAATCTTTTCTTGTGACAGGCTGCTAGTAACGACGTGCCTAAAGATACAATTTAAAATTGGTTCCTTGATAAGTTTTCTGATATGTGTAGCCACAACACTGGTTCATCTCTCGAGTTAGGTGTGATATTGTTGAATGATTTACAGGTCAGAGTTAAGTAGCTTAAAGAAGGAAAAATCAGCCAGTGTCCGAAGAAAGACTTTGAAAGCCCCTCAGAAAGCCTGAAGAACTATTGCTCAAGACCACTACAAGAAGTCTGGCTCCTTGGAAGTAAAATCTTAAGAAATGAGCAATGACTCAAAAATATTGCACAGCAATGTCCATTCAAAGTCATATAAATGAAACCACATTAGTTCAGTATTAAAAAACAGACCCTAGTTTTAACAACTTTACATGCTACTCCTAAGGAGGATGAGAAAAATAAAGGGATAGAAAAACTGTAAAATAGTGGAAAGCTGAAAATCTTTGGACCCTAAAATTGTGGGTGTTTTTAAGTTAAAAGTCACAAACCAAAAAAATTAACCACCACTTTTTAATCTTTAAACAGAAATTGTGATTTTTCTTGAACATTTAGTCAAATCCATATTTAATAACTGTATTCACTGAGTCCCTCTTGTTATGATCAGTGATTGTTAAGACTGGTAAACTCTTGATTCATTCATACACTCCTCTAACCTTCACGCTACTTTTAGCCCCAAAGAAGAAATTCACTGCTTTTTCATTAGATATATTTTATTTAAAAAAAAAGGAAACCCAACAAGAACTTGTTTTTTTTACATAATGATCAAGGATTTTTATTATCTTAGTCTCTTTCATCAGTTTCATTTCATTACAGAAAATGTTATAGTACAGCGTTGTTCAATGTCTCCTCATTGCTTAATAATTTCCTTAGGAGTGCTGGTCACATATATCTGTACAATATGATTCTTATTTTTTTCTGTACATTTTTTGTGAAGTTGGTTAAAAAGGCTGTCAGCACTTAAAGAAGCTGTTTCTTTTCTTTCATTTTTTTTTTTCTTAAATAGTTGATCAAATAAAAGATTATTTTTCCCAGGTTCAGCTCGCTCGTGGTGGGGTTTGGGACGGAGTTTACACCCGGTCACCATGAATATAAGGAAGCTTTAGGGTCCTGGGCCGACTGGGGTGTGCCCCCCCCCCCCCTCCCCACCCTCCCCGACACCGCCTCTTCCTTGCCCAGGCATTTGGCACTGCGCACATAAACAAGACTCACAAGATAAACAACAAGCAAAGCTCTTTGTGAAGCCATTATGATGCATACTAATGAGAGAAAAACAGAAGTGTCACCTTGATGGGCACTCCAAAGAGGAAGTGGCCTTTATGTGCCCCCCCTCTTCCTCTTAGCTGAGCACCGTGGGGAATCTGGAGCCTTCCTCGGTGTTTTCTTTATTTTCATAAAACAGAGTATTTTTTTTCCACTAAAGATGAGAAAATAATAATTTTCTTTTTTTTTTCTTTTTTTTGTCCTGGCAGGCACCTACAGCTGTCTATTAAAATGCTACTGCTATAGATAAGGTCTAGCATTGAACACACAAAGCAATTGCAATGAAAGGAACAAAGTTGCCTTAATATAATAATGATAATAATAAGAATAATGATAATAATAATAAGAATAATCATAATAATATATTACAGAATAAATCTCTTTTTATAATTAGATTTTTTTCATTAAAAGTTATATTTTCTTTGTTTGAAATACTATAATCTTTTTAAATTAGTTTTTTCATATGTATCTAGGTTGTGATCAAGATGTTGACTATACCTCAACGTTATCCAAATCAATAAAAACTAGCTGTGCCGTTGCATATTACAGAATAGTCAATGATATGTGGACATGCACCGTGAACCACCCATTCCCTCGCTATGTGACGCCGTTTCTCCGTCCCTCCATTATGACATCATAGCCGGCCGATGACCATGACGTCGACCACCTCGCCCTTGTGCAGCTCCACGTATTGCTCTGTTTTCGGAGGTAGCATCAGGAGCCCGTTAGCACTGCGCATGCTCATCAGTCTGCTGTTCACCTGGTTCCCTGCATCAGAAAAGATGATGAGGGGAAACAATAACTGCTGTTAAAAAGAGCAGTTTTTTTTTTCCACTGCCAAACTGGCTAGTATTCAAAAACTACAGAAACCATGTATTTGAAGTAGTTTCACCTGCAGTAAATCAAAGAAACCCTGAGGCGAGCCTAGTATGGAATCATGTCTACTTCTGCTCCGTGTTCCATATAGAGATTGTGAACACTGGTAAGTCTCTTGATTATTTCCACTCTGACGAATACTAAACGGCCAAAATGATCACACGTTTACATGACTGGGAATCGAAATGCTGATCTTCAAACTCGTCTAAGAAACTGCTGCCAGTCTTGTCAGTCCTGATAATTTAAGGTGCTCTTAAATGATTGCATTTATGTTTAAAAAAACAACACAATTTTTG